GGGAAAATAGAGGTCTAAATCAAACAATTCGCCTGGGCTGGAGAGATAGCACAGTGGGTAGGGCGTTTGCCTTGCACATGGCCAACCTGGGTTCAATTCCCAGCATCCCATATGGTTCCCTGAGCACCGCCAGGAGTAACTCCTGAGTTCAGAACCAGGAGTAATCCCTGTGCATTGCCAAGTGTGACCCAAAAAAAGCAAAAAAAAAAAAATAACAGTTTGCCCTGCCTGGAAAGTGGGGGTGGGATGGGGTGCTCTCTCTCAGCAATGATTGTTTCTCTATTCCATGCACCCCCAGGGTCCCAGGATACACACAGAACAGACTCACACAGGCATCAGGCACTCCTCCAGGACTTCCAAGAAGTGTGCGTACACAAGCACAGGCACACACAGTATGCACTCATGCACACACTCCTGCACACATCACGTACTCAGCGACACTCATGCACGTGGCATGCACTCATGCACACAGCTCGCACACGTGCACACACGCCTGCATGCAGCACGCACTCACACACTCATGCATGTGGCATGCACACATGCACACATGCACACGCTCATACACACAGTACACACTCATGCAGCACACATACACGCACATGTGGCATACACACCATCAATCCTTGCTGACTCACGGTGCCCAGCCAGACGGCCTGCAGCCTCGAGGCTGTCCAATACCCATCAGTGCGGGGGTGGGGGCCAAGGAGGCACTGCCTGCTCCAGCCACCCGGGTCGCCGGGTCACCGTCACTTGTGCTGCTGTGCCCCTGGCCGGATGCTGAGAAGTCACAACAACACTGAGCCCAACCCTAAGCTGCAGGCAGAGGCCGGAGAGGTGGCATGACAACTGGGCAAAGGAGGTAGGAACAGAGCTGAGCATCCTGACATTCATCAGAGACGACCACAGCATACTGGGGGCACTGAGGGTGACCCCAGAACCCGCAGCCCCCCACAGGCCAAGCACACGTCTCAGGGCCCTGGAACTCCCTTCCCACAGCTTGGACTGACTGGACAGAAGCGTGGTCAAGTGGCATGTTGGGAAGCTGTGCAGGAGACACCCCAGAGTGAGAGGTCAGCTGGATGAGGAGTGGGGGCTGGTCATCCCACACAAAACGGAGCTCTGGGGAGCTGTAAAGGGGAGTCTGGGGACCAGAGTGATAGGACAGCAGGGAGGGCACTTGCCTACTATGTGGCCAGCCCAGATTCAATCCCTGTATCCCAGACACTCCCCCAAGCACTACCAGGAGAAATTCCTGAGCACAGAGTCAGGAGTAGTAGGCCCTGAGCACACTGGGTGTGACCCAAAAACAAAAACAATAAGACTTATTAAAAATATACCCCCTTGGAGCTGAAGCAATAGCACAATGGATAGGGCATTTGCCTTGCACACGGCCGACCCGGGGTTCGATTCCCAGCATCCCATATTGTCCCCTGAGCACCGCCAGGAGTAATTCCTGAGTGAAGAGCCAGGAGTAACCCCTGTGCATTGCTGGGTGTGACCCGAAAAGCAAAATAAATAAATAAATAAATAAGTACCCCTTCCCCTGAAAATTGCAAAGAAAATGGTCTAAAGCCAACAGTGGGAAACTTGCTGTTTTTAGTAGAAATATTTGGGGTGGGAGGGACACTCAGCAATGCTCAGGAATGACTCCTGGCTCTGTGCTCAGGGATCACTCCTAGCAGGCCTGGGGAATCATATGAGGTGCCAGGAATTGAACCCGAATCTGCAAAGCAAGCTTACCCACTCTACTATCGCTTCAGCCCCTCTTCGAGAAAAATTGTGCATGCATTGACCTCTGACCTCGAAACCCACCTTCAGTGTGTGTTCTCAAGGGTTGTGTCTGGGGGCTAGAGCGATAGTACAGCGGGTAGGGCATTTGCCTTGCACACGGCTGATCTGGGTTCAATTCCCAGCATCCCATATGGTCCCCCAAGCATCACCAGGAGTAATTCCTGAGTGTATGAGCCAGGAGTAACCCCTGTGCATCACCGGATATGACCCCCCCAAAAAAAAAGGTTTGTGTCTGACAACATGCAACTCATCACACACAAGGGAGCTAAGTGCATTGTCATTTGTGACCCTGAAGGAAAGAACGACCCAATTATCAACGAGGCACAAACCAGGGGGACCCCAGTCACTCCCACCACGAAGCACCACAGAGCCATGAAAATGAGAGTTGAACAGCTGGAAAATTCTAGAAATGGGTAGTGATGACGGTAGCACATGGCCACCAATGCATTTAGCACCCCTGGGAGTAAGGGGATGGGTGAGATTCTTAGCTAAACCTTCTTTAGGAGAAACAAAAGAAATCTGTGGGAGGGGGCAGTTGGGGTGCACAATCTCGAGGCAGACCCCACCCTTAATGCCACAGTCCCTTCCCACTGGAAAGAAATGCTCTGCAGTCGGCAAGAATCATTCACGCCTTCAGCAGAGCTGTAAGATTCTCCTGGGCCGCTGAGCAGGGACCCCCCCGGGAGCTACACTATGGCCCAGCCCTCACCAGTTACCGACGCCAACCCCTGCACAGAAAGAGCATGAAGTGTGTCCTGACCTCGCGGGCTCCAGGCCACAGCTTCAGTCCCTGCGATTGGGGGGGGGGGGGGGGGGGAGGGACATACACACAAAGGCATCTGAAGCTGTGTCCAAGCCCTCCGCTCCAGGTGCTAGGATTCAGGGACCCCCACTCCCCTGGGTCTGACAGAATGTGTCATCACATTGCCTGAGCTGGTGGCCAGCAGGGACCCGCAAGGCTTCACTGGGCTTCCTCAGGGAGACTCTGCTGCAAGCCGGGACCCGCCCCAGGGACCTAATTCACTCAGGAATCTGTTTCCCACAAATTCAGCCAGATCGTCCCTGCACTTAATTACACCTTCTCTCTGCTCCTATCCCGGTAGAAAGAGCTCAGGGACTTACACTTGTGTGGGCTGACTATTTTCATGCTGAAGATCCCTTCCAAGTTTTTTCCAAGGTCCTCAAGTCCCAGCCCAGACCTCCAATCCATCATTCAAGCCCTCAGTAACCTCAGGACCACCCCCCCTCCTGCCCCCTCCCCCACACACAATGGATTAGGCAATAGGAGTCTGGTTTTGCTTTGTTTTGTTTTTGCCTTCCTTTTGTTTGGGGCCACACCCAACAGTGCTCAGGGATCACTCCTGGCAAAGTGCCCAGGAACCATGTGGTACCAGGGATTGGACCCTGGGCCTCCCACATGCAAAGCTATCCCCCAGGCTGGTCCATCCCACACATTTTCATTACAAATGGAGGGGAATCTGTTCTGGCCAAGCAGTCTGAGCAAATGCAAGGCTCCAAGGGAGGTGCAGGCCCTCTTCCCCCTGCCCTCCCCCCTGGACCAGGCTCTGCTCCCCATACACACCCCTGCAGGAATGACAGCTTCCCACCTACTTCCCCGCCCCCCGCATATGCCACTAGTTTATAGATGGGAATCTTTTTTCATACGTGACATCATGTGATCCCTATCACTCTGCAACTTGAAAAGCTTGTTTCCCAGCCCATTTTCATCTGGAAGTGAGCGCCGTACTACTGTGGGTGTTCGGAGAATAAAGTGCAGAGAGAGAAGCCTTGGGAAAATGCTTCCGAACAAAAGGAGGGAAACGAAACTGTGGGCCACAACGCTTTCCAGAAGCCGGTTGATGCCTTCTGGAGGCTGGCCTGGTCCAGCAAGGAAGTTGCACTTTTGTCCCAGCACAAAACACCCTCTCCCCGCAGTAGGACGCGGCGGGCGGTGTGCGGGTGTGGGGGTCCTTGACCTGGGGTTGGCAATTCTCAAGTAGAAAGGGGGTGGGGGAGGTCGCTCTCTCCCCAGCCAAGTAGAGTGAGGTCTAAAACGCAGGCAAATTCAGAGAAGACGGGAGGGCGGACTTCACCCACCGGGGGAGTCCCTCCGTGCCTCGGTTTCCCCAGTTAAGGAAACAGTCTAATACTGCTCCCATCCCCATCCTGGGTGGTTCTGGGACGCGGGAGGTGGAGAGTAAGGAGGCGTGTGATGAGTGCACCGAGAGCTATTACAGCCACGTGAGTCCTAATTATTATTAATTGCAGTGGGGACTCGCTTCCCACCGGGCGTTTGGCAGCTGCCCGGATGGACGCGCGCCCGCGTTTTCTGGGGACTCTCGGGCGCGGGGCGGGGAGCCGCGACGCTCCGGGGGCCGGGGCGCCACCTGCCGGCGGCGGCGGGGCCTGCGTGTGGGTCCCGTTCGGCGGGCGCGGGCGCCCCGCTCCTCCTCCGATCCCGCCGCGGTCCCGGCCCCTCGAGGTCCGTTTCGCATCCCCGCGCGGCCGGGGAGCCGCAGCCGAGGCTCCTCCGCGGCCCCAGCCCCCGAGCCCGGAGCGAATCGCCCCCGCTGGGGCTCGCGGGGCGGCCGCAGGCGCACGGGAACCTGCTTCCCGACACAAAGCCGGAGCCGCGCAGGTGAGCGCGCCGGGGCCACGTGAGCCGGTCACCGTCCCGGGAGCGCCCCGGAACCCCGCGAGCCGCCGCCGCGGGTCCGAGCCTCCTCACCCAGGCTCCTGCACCCGCGGGGCGAAGGTGGAGAGCAAGGTCGGGGCGAGAGTGGGTGGGCGCGGCCCGAGACCCCGCGGCCCGGGCCCCGCATCTTCCGTTTCTGCGCCCCGCGCCCCCCCCAGCCTCCGAGCCTTCGGCGCCCCCAGTCCCTGGACCTCACCCCCACAATCCCCGGGGCCCCTCATCCCCAGCTCCCCCACCCCCCGTCTCGCCTCCAGACCCCGACTGCCTGGCGCCCCCAGGCCCGGAGGCCCTCGCGCTCCCAGGCCCTTGTCCTCAGCCCCCCGCCCCCCACCCCTCTGCGCCCCCGAACCCCGGACCGCCCCCCCGGCCGCAGCTCCCGGCGCCCGCGCGCCCCTGTCCCCGACTCCCGCTCCTCCACCGCCCGGGGCCCCCAGATCCCGGTGCCCAGCACGCCGCCCCCCGCCCCGGCCCCGGCCGCCCGGCGCGCACAGGCCCCGCCGCCCCGCGCACTCACCGGCGGCCCCCGTAGCCGCTGCCCGGGGAGCCGGCGCCGGGCTCGGGGTAGCCGTGCTGCTGCAGCGACGCGGCCGGGAAGGGGTACAGGAAGCCGGTGGCCAGCGCCGACCCGCACAGGCAGCAGCACGCCCAGGGCAGCAGCAGCGCCAGCTTCATCTTGCGCGGCCGCCCGCGGGGGACCCCGCGTCCCGGGCGGGAAGACGGCGCGGCGCGCACGGGCGGCCGGACCGGACCCGCGGCCCCACCGCGAGCGGAGCGAGGAGCCGGCCGGGCGCGCGGGCGGCAGCTGCGAGGGTCTGGGGGGCGCCCACGCCGCTCCGGGGCCGCCTTTTCAAATTCGTCGAGGTGGGCTCTGCGCCGTCAAAGGGGGCGTGGGGCTTGCTCGTTAACCCTCCGCGCTCCACGGCCTGCAGGGGCCGCACTGCCGGGGGTTCCCGCGGCGGCGTCCTAGGGTCCCCCGAGCGCTCCGCGTCCCCCCAACGCCCCCTCCACCGGAAAGCTGGGTCGCCGGCGCCCGCAATCTAAAAACTCTCCCAGCCAAACTCTGCGGGGTTGCTGGCGCTTAGGGCACCTCTTCCCTGCCTGGCACCTTCGACCTCCCGGGACGCTCCACCCTCCCCTTCACCTCATACCCTTCCCATTGTGCAGAGGTGGAAACTGAGGCTCAGAAAATAAGGAACCAGGAAAATAAGTGTTTCTGTTTAGGGCTCTTTGGACCGGATTGTCTTTCCAAAAACCCTCTTCACCTTTCATACTGACCCCTGCTTACCTGCTGTTTCTCCTGCTGGGGAAGAACAACGGGAAGTCCCAGAATCCTGAACTTCCCAGGCTGTACCTGACACCCAGGCTCACCACACTCTCACTCTCCAGATTGGGGTATTTTTCCTTCTCTCCCAAAAGCATCCTGGAGCTGCAGGAAGCCCTAGGGCTGCTCTGCCCCAACTGAGGTTGGCAAACATGCTCTCCAAAGTCCCCGCTGGGAAAAGAGAGAAACTTGCGGGTGGATGCTGACCAGGGAACACGATTTGTGGGGTGATTGGTGGGGGGCCGGCAGAGAAAGGCAGGAGAGGGGTGTTGCAAAGGTGGAGGTGTAAGAGCAGAACCTGCGGACTTGCAGGGTCTGTGGACGAAGATTAGCAGGACAACCTCTCCCTCTCTTTCATTTACGGCTCTTTATTTTACAGCTCATGCAAAAGTTGCAGAAACAGGAGTTTCTGTAGAATATTACAGCGGGGAAGGTGCTTGCTCTGAGCGCAGAGCCTGGAGTAACCCCTGATCCTCGCTGCGTGTGACCCAAACACCCCCAAACCAAACCAAACAAAACAGGAGCTTCTGTGCCCCATTTCTTGCTTCTTTTCTCTGCTATTCCAGTCCATGCAGACTGTGTTGTCTGCAGTCATGTTCCCCACCGACTTCCTGCCTGGTCCCATCTAATCTCTAATACAGTGGCGTGTATTTATATAGCTCCTAATCTCCTCCCCACTCGTTGGTTCTGCTATCTGATTGGCTACACCCTATGTAACTGAGTTCTTGTAAAAATAGCCAATTGAATGGCTGCATATGCCTTATGCAAATAAGGTTTTGTAAAACAACCAATCAAATGGTCTCTCCTCCTCTTCTCTGGTGGCTTTTGCCCTTCAGTTCTCATACCTCCATATCCAGTATGTGCCCTCACTGTTCTTGCATACCCCACATGTACACATATCCATTGGGCGTACCGGTCTGTGCCCTGAGTATGCAGTTCAGGATATCATGTTCCACCCACTCCACTCCATGCCCCCACCCTTAGCCACCAGTTCTCACCAAGCTGCTCAGTCTGGGGGAAAGCTTGCTGATGCAGGGTACTCTGCTTGGGGCTCAGGACAGACTCAGCATCCAGAGTGGATCATCCCCAGCAGGAAATGTAAGTTGGATCTAGGACCTTCCCCTCCATCCCACTCTCAGGACCTGAAAGATTCAGAGAATTTGGGTTATCAGGGAATTTTTCAGTGCCTCCCCAAAAAGAATCTGAACTCTGCCCCCTAGGCAGTTGGCCAACCCCCAGTACTGATGAAGTCATCCCCCCCACAGGAATTTCTAAGCATCTGTCTTCCTTTTTCTCCTCCTTCACTCGCATAATGAGATCTTAAAGGACAGCAAAGGGCCAGAGAGATCGTGCAGCAGGTAAGGCACTTGCCTTGCACACAGCTGACCTGGGTTCAATCTCTGGCACAACAAATGGTCCCGCAGCTCAGCCAGGAGTGATCCCGGAGTTCGGAGCCAGGAGTAAGCCCTAAACACCAAGTGGGTGTGGTCCAAAAAGCAAAAAAAAAAAAAGAAAGAAAGAAAAGGAAAAGAACAGAAAAATCCATATTGCTCTAAATTGGCTTTCTGTTGCAGTGAACATAGGGAGCAAGTTTCTGGTTTATCTGAGGCTCCTCTTCCCGGGGCCAAGGGCTGCACCAACAGAAAGGGAAAGGAGGAGAGGGAAGGATAGCACCGTGGCTGCCAGAGGCTTCTGGGTGGAAGCTTTGTGAGCACACCCCAGAAACCTCCAGCCGGAAAATTCAATCCGGCCATGAGTCTAAGCAAGGACAAACCCTGTGCAGGGGACAGAAGCCGTGTCACAGCAGTTTGGCTCTTAGTACCCCAGTGCTGATGCTGTTCCTGAGAGTAGGCATCAGAATGATCCTTTCTGTTTGGTCCCACTGGGGTGCTGGGGATGGAACCCAGGGTGCACACGTGCAAAGCAAGTGCTCCGGCCCCTCGCTGCATCCACAGCCCTGGAAGTTCCTTGGAATGTCAGTGAATGGGGGGGGGGGGGGGTTGGTGTGGTTTTAGGAGCACAGCTTGTATCTCTCAGGGCTTATTTCTGACTATGCTTGGTGATCACTCCTTTTCTGGGTGAGGGGCCACACCCTCAGCACTGCTCAGGGTGTCCTCCTGGTGGTGTTCAGGGGGCCATCTAGGAGCTAGGGTATAAATGGCCAGTGTGCGCCTTAACCCCTGTCCTCTCTTGGGCCCAGCACCGTGGACCAGTGCTCTGCAGACCAGAGCGGGTCCATTCAATGGTGCAGATCCAAAAACAAAGATGTCTAAGGCCTAAGAACGCAACAGGGCACATCAGCAGGCCACCTGGCCAGGAGCCCAGGCTTCTTCCTGGGGTCCCCACGCCCCTCTGCCGTGCTCCCCAGCACCCCTGTCTATGAAATGAAGTGTGGGCTCCTGATCTCAAAATACTACTCCAGTTCTGGCTCTTATAATTCATTTTTTTTCTCTTTGGGTCACACCCGGCGATGCACAGGGGTTACTCCTGGCTCTGCACTCAGGAATCACTCCTGGCGGTGCTCAGGGGACCATATGGGATGCTGGGAATCGAACCCGGGTCAGCCGCGTGCAAGGCAAACACCCTACCCGCTGTACTATTGCTCCAGCTCCACTTGTAACTCATTTTTCTCTTCCCTAACCACTCTCATTTCCAAGGCAGCAATGGCCAGACCCAACCTTAGTCACCTTGTCACTCTGTTTGACATCAGTGGCTGAAGCAGCACCCTGAGAGCCAGGAAGACTGTCGCATGAAGAGTCTATGGCATCACGCCTGTGGCCCAACTCCAGCAGGACCTGCTGTGTGACCTTGGACAGGTTACTTACTGGGGCCACGACCTCCCTAACTGTAACAGCATCAGAACAACGCGGCAGAATTTGCTAGAAGAATTCAATAAGAGTTGGCTCCGGTGTACCTATTGCGTTAGATGCATGTCAAACCTAACTTGTTCTTATGATTTGCAGGAATAAATTTGTTATTGTTGGTGAGGGATAAAATTGAAGGACAACCATCCCTCTCAAGGCCCCGGAACAGGGCAGGCCAATGAGGCAACGGGGACAAGGGACAAACCATACCTTTTAGCCTTTGGTCAACAACTTACAATACCAGGCTATGGCCAGAGAGCTAGTGGCAGGGTGAAGTGCCCTCCTTGGACCCATGCACTCAGCTGACCCCGGCCTGACCCCAAGCACAGTCAGGAGTGACTTTTGAGCACAGAGCCAGGAGTAAGCCCTGAGCGCCAGAGGTATAAAAACAAAGACAAGCTCATAGTGAGTGACAAAGAGGCCAGTGGAAAGGTGGGAGGGGCCGAGAGGAGATCTAGAACCTTCCAAAACTCAGCTGCCCAACGACCCGTCCACACAACAGTTTATTTCAGACGGGTCCCCCAGGAACCCTGGTCCACAGAGGATGGGGATGAAGGTCAGTGGGCGCATCCTGCCTGTGCCAGGTCATCTGCGCCATCACGGGGACCCCCCCCACTCAAAGAGACCCAGACAATAAGGGGCCGGGGAGGAGGGCGCCGCAGGGACCCGGCCTCCTCTTAATCCCCACTTTGCAGACAGGGAGGGAGACAGGGATTTGCCCGGATCTGTACTCCCAGCTCTGGAGTTCAAAGCGCCTTAGAAAGGGGGGTGTTTGTGCGCTGAGGAGTCAGATTACTCGCTCAGTGTAAAAAGACAGCCCCCGCCCCCACAAGGACCCCTGGATGTGGAAGCGTGCACACACACACACACTTGCACACAAACGTGCTACACGTGCATACACAGGCACATGCATACATATGCATGTGCACACATGCACACACCCACACGGGCACTCACATACACAGGCATGCATGCACATGTACACACAGGCACACACATACACATGCATACAGACATGTACACTCATGCACACACCCACACAAGCACACACATACACATGCATGCACAGGTACACACACAGGCACACACATGCACATGCATACACACACGCGCACTCATGCACACACATGCACACACCCACACAGGCACTCACATACACATGCATACGTGCAGATGTACACACACAGGCACACACATACGTACGCATGTGCACACATGCACACACCCACACAGGCACACACATGCACATGCATACACACACGCACACTCATGCACACACACATGCACACACCCACACAGGCACACACATACACATGCATGCATGCACATGTACACACACAGGCACTCACATACACATGCATACACACATGCACACTCATGCACACACACATGCACACTCAGGTGCACACACGCATGCACAATGCACACATAGGCACACATACACACACACAGGCACACATGCACATACACGTGCACGCACATGTCCACACACACGTACATGCGCACACAGGCAGCTCCCCACAGCTGTTTCCAGGCCTGATAAGAAACCATCAGCCAGCACCTCCCGGGCAGACACGAAGCAGATCCCCGCTTCTGCTGAAGTCAGCAGAGAGCCACCGAGCGGAGAAGTAAATACTCAGCCAGTCCGAGCCAAGGTAAATATTGACCTAGTGGCCCGATAAATCCTTGGTTAATCTGAAACAGAGATCACTCCCGCCCCCACCCCCCACACCCTAAAGGACACGGATTCCGCGGTTCCCCATCCCACCCCCCAAGTTCTGGGAGAGCATGCTAGGTAGGAATGAGGCTGTTTCCAAACTCCTGCTCCCTGTGCTTCCAGATCCTGCGGCAGCCAAGAAACAGGGTGCAGTGGACCCAAAGCAGTGGAGCACCCCAGTCAAGGGCTGCTCTGGGCTGCTCAGGGCTGCCTCCCTCTGACCAGGGTCAAATCCAACCAGCACTGGGATGTTTTGGAAGATGCCAGCACTGTGCTCTTCTTTATCTGAACACCCCAAAGTCCTACTGGTGTCCCTCTGGGCCGGAGACTTGGCCAAAGGACTGGACTGCCGTTTTGCAAGCCAGAACCCCCTGGTACCACCTGGTTCCCCTGAGTACTAAGTCAGGAGTAACCCCCAAGCACTGCTGGGTATGGCCCGAAAAC